TCCTTTACACATATTTTGTAATTATGGTTGCGAGAATTAATCTTAGTTAGTTATTTAGAGAGGGTGGATTTCCCAATGCACCGCGACCAGTTTCATCTATTGTGCTTTCCTCTATGATATTCTACCAGTCTCTATACCCTACCGATAAATGGTGCGTACCATCAGTTCCGCCGAGCAAGCGAGTTCGGCCACTTGCTTAGCGGTATCTATAATGCTTCCCCCATCTATCAGAGGCCTTAGAGACTATTATTGGGCGGGAAACGTCCTGGAATTTGGCTCAGTGATTCCGTTTGGGGATATGAGGTTCTTTTACGTGCCGTAAAGTTACGACACGGGACCCACAGCTTAAAGTCCCTCCCGGAGGACTTGTTCCCTGAATTTTTCCGCCTTTAAAAATTCGACGACCTCCGCCGGGTATTTGAACCCGCGTACCACGAGTCATGAGGTGGGAACGTTACCTCTAGACTACGGAGGCCGCTGAGAATTGATCTTAATCGTATACGCAACATACAGATCTTTAAGTTCTTAAAACATAAGCATAATCGGCATAGCGACTGGGCTTCGTGCTAATGTGGTCCGATTCCTCTCATGTACCGCATCCAGACCGGCATAGCCTGCTGCCCAATGAGTATGGAGTGCTGTAAGTCTGACCATTCGCCTCCACCAAACTTTGAAGTGAATAATGCGTGAATTTTATTTCTAACTCCCAGATGGGTCTTCGGGTGTAGTGCTAAATTGAGCACAGTGACAAATTTATCTTTGCCAGATTAGTAATCGCGTCATTTTTAATCAGAGCCACAAAACAACTGTTGAGGTTAGAAATGTCTGCAGTTACAGCCCTACTTATTCATGCGTTCTGGTGCGGTTTCCAAGTGCAGAAACAGCTTTACCTGTTACTACCGAGAATTTTGTGTAATAGTAATGAACAACTATTGCTTCAAAATATTCTGTCGCAATAAATAAAGGAAGAAAGGCATAAGAGAGGAAGCCATTATAAAACACAGATTTGACCTCAGAATCCACGAAAACCAGAGAAAGACTAGTCTTCAGTTAATATGCATGACACCCAGAAGTAAGCATTATAATTCCTTCTTTGAAGCTCTTGTTTCCACATATTATGCACTGCATGCAATATGAACTTCTATAATGCCTAAGGATGTATAAGTAAGGGTACATGGAAGAAGTGTTGGAGAAACATTACAGTATTATAGAAGTTACGTAATTCCTTCTCTGTGATAGGAGTTCTTTCTCGTTACTGTCAAGGAAGAGTCTTATTAATATTCTTATAAGCCTGAAGCCTTAACACTCAAAGACGGAAACCTTTCTGCATTCGGTCTATAAGCTTATATACGCACATACACTCACAAGTGCGCGCGCACATACAAGTACGCATAAATATTTTCGGATTGTGTGGTTTATATATATAAAAAAGAACCGTGTTACCTTTCCGAATATTATAAAAGTTGTTCATATGCTTAACTGTAGCCGAGCGGTCTAAGGCATGCACTGTCTTCGCTCGCTTGGAAACCGGGATCGTAGGTTCGAATCCCACTTAGGGCATGGATGTTTGTGTGCGTTTTTCTGTATTTGTGTACAGGTAGAGGCCTTGCGACGAGCTGATCACCCGCCCATGGAGTCCTACCGAATGTGTAAGACGTAGAAAAACCGAAGAGAACGGAGAAGTTCATGGAGGTAGGCCTAGGCCCACTGGGGCTGTAATGCCAAGGAGAAAAAAAAATGCTTAACTAATTAAGCACTAGGCCATGAAGACGTAGAGAGAAGTGGATGTATAGATCCACGTTTTATTGATCTCGGCACTGGTTGGAGGTGAGTGGTCAGCTTCAAGCCCCGACCGCTTTACTTCCGGGGAAAGAGCCCCCGGTAACAATTGGAGAGGAGGTTCGGTGGACCTCAGAGCTTGTTTGGACAACGTGGAGAAAAGATAATTCTTGGACACAGCAGTAACTTACATAAATCGAGATATTTATATTAGTATTTCATAAATAGCAACGTTCAATATCACGGTCTCCTGGTTCTGACGCCGCATACGACGGGGAAAGTTCGACGTTTCGCAGGAATTAATTCCTTCCATATTCATGACAGAAGCGTTAGCCAAGCAAGAAAACAGAACAAACAGGCAGTAATCTGAGCCGCCAGCTTCTGTTTTTGTTTTCTGCTTGGTTTGTCTTCAATCATGAAGATGGAAGCGAGATATTCCTTAGAAACGCCGAGTTCTCTTCGACTAACATGACATTATGGCCGAAAAGACCAATCTTTATAGTCACAACTGTGAGAGCATCAAATCCGAGAGTTACGGTAAATTTGTCCCATATTTTATCATGGTGAAACACCAGTACTCAGCTGCAGCTGTGAGATATGGATAAAATCTGTTAAAAAGTTGGAGAACAGGTAATCGAGTAAAAATTCTTTCCTACGTAAACAATAAGATATATCCTATTCATAGTCATGTTATATTATTTCTTACTGTGTAACCATTCAAATGGCCGCGCCACAGCTCAAGCGGTTAGTCGCTGGCTTCCCACCGCGGCGGCCCGGGTTCGATCCCGGGTCTGGTCAAGTGGGATTTGTGGTGGACAAAGTGGCGCTGGAGCAGGTTTTCTCCGGGTACTTCGGTTTCCCCTGTCAATCTTCATTCCACCAATTGCTCCACAATCACCCTCACCTATCATCTGGGGCTGGTACAATAGGCCAGAAGGGGCTGCAGTATAAGGGACTTAGTCCCACCCCACTAGCAATAAAAAGAACCATTCAAATATACAAACACATATCAACATTTTCGTACACACACCAAAACCCAGAAGAATACAATGCCCATCTTCAAGGCCATAAAACCCACTAATCTCATGTAAGTGACTACACTGAACGACTGCATAATATAATGAGACTGCTGCTCTTGAAATAAATAAAGACGATTATTAGTTGTAATTTTACGGTATCGTTTGAATTAAGTTATAATGCCCGTTATTCTTAACTGCTTGTTAATCCGTAACCTCATCTGGCCTCGCCTTCACTAATCACCGGATTTGAGGGAATCATGGATGGGTGAAAGGCTGCTATTCTACGGATGAATAAGTATCATACGTAAGGGCTTTCAGAGAATTTCAACAAGAAAATTCATTATGAAAATAAATGGAAAGAGGGGGTTGAGAGTGAACGGGTACATTATGCTTGAAAAATAATTTAGAGTTTTAGTAAATTTGTGAGATCCCTTTTCTATGCTGATTTTATTGTTTACGGATTTAGGTTCGGTTTAACATCAAAGTTCTACAGTAGGATCAAACACATATGTACTTCATATCATGTAATGGGTGTAACGCATTAAAAATATAAATTTAACTGACATAAATTATTATGTAGCTGTGTTTGTTCAAGGATGTAAAGGCAAGTCGTGACTTCGTCTCTCCGCCAGGAAAGTAGTTCCAAAATTTCTATATTCTAAAATGTATAATTCAGAATTATACATGCATATCGTCGTTCTTAAAAATGCAGTACTGAAATACTTCTTCCTTAATAATATTGTAATCAATTTAGAACAATACGCGTGTCTTTAAAACAAGTAAAACTTCAATTTTTACAGCATCCAAGAGATTCCATTAGACAATTAAAAGTTTCTGTGATGGATCTGTTTTGTTCTACTATTCAGAAATGTATTTTTACGTATCCTGTTATGAATGGCTTCATAATTTTAAAATTTCGTGCAACTTTACTTTAAATATATCTATATTATATGATTCTGAAATTATGTTACGCCATAGTACTCCATTCCATTTTTAGAAATTCAACTTGCTCCGACATATATGCAACTAAGCAAAGAAAGGGCTTTTAATGCGAAATGTAGATAGACAAAATATTTTAGGCGGAACAGCCTAGCAAGACTTTACAACAAACTTTTGGAACACATTTCTGAGTACTCTAATTACGTGAAATATTCAAGTAGTCATCCATATTTGTGCACAGTAACCATCATATGCACCCAACAGTTATAATTGCTTGAGGAAAGAAATACATATAAGGCTTTGGTGGGGAAACAAGAAGGAAAAGAGACCACAAGGAAGACTTAAGCGCAGGTTGGAGAATAATATTAAAATGGATTTTAGAGAAGTAGGATGGAGTGGTTTGGTCTGAATTCATCTGGCTCAGGATAGCGACAAGTGGAAGACTCTTCTGAACACGGTAATAAACTTTCGGATTCCATAAAATTTTTGGAAATTCTTGAATAGCTGAGCGACTGGCGGCTTCTCAAGAAGGACTCAGCTCCATGGAATGTCAGTATTTACAACTGTTTACAACAGCATGTGGCTATCTACCATGACTACCGTATCTGACTCCTTGAAATAACGTCCTTTTTTAGAAACTAACAGTCGCTCAGCTATTCAATAAATTCCCTCCAATTTATGGAATCGAAAAGTTAATTATAGTCTTTCTTAAAGCTAGCCATTATAACATACCCAGCCGGATTAATCCATCCCACGCCATTCAGACCTATTTTTTGATTAATTTTATTATTATTCTCCCTTCTCTGCCTAGGTCTTCGAAAACGCCTCTTCCTGTTAGCACTTCCTGCCAACATTTTGTATGAATTTATAATTTATATCATGCATGCCACACGTCCCGCCCATCTTATCCTCCTTCATTTAATCATCCTAATAATATTTTGTGAAACTTTAAAATTCTGGAGCTCCTAGTTATGGAATTTTTTCTAGTTGCCCACCATTCCTTACCTCGGCTCCCTGTTCCCTAACACCATCCTTCGCTGTTTTCCCTTTATTACGAGAGACCAAGTTTCACGTCCATACACAATTGCATGCAAAAATGCAATTTACATATTTCAATATTATAGTGGTTGAGAGCTGGCATACGCAGCTGTTAATGCCAAGAACTTGAGCAGTATGATCAATAACACCGACCTCTAGGAATACAGCTTGATCTTCAAGGACAATTAATTACAATTCCTAATTAAAGAACATGCAAACAATTACCACTGCAGGTGGTGCTCCTTTTTCATTATGACGTCAATGTATCTCTTCCTCCCTGGCGCCGTGGAGCCATCTCATAGAAACATCACGTATAATGGAGGATGAACAATGAAAACGAAAAGAGAAAGTATTTAGCAGGAGATATAATGATATGTCCCTTCTAATACTCAACGATGTGTCCATACAATGTTCCTGCCCATCACTACACGCCTCCTTGCTCAGTATGAAACACGCAAGTAAAATGAAATATCGCCGATTTCAAATGGGGTGGCACACCCTCAGCAAAATCAACTGCCTTCAAAACAACACGCTTTCGGTATATTAGGGAGCAGCATTGAACATATTCATTGGGAAATTAAATGTGCAAATTAAATACATTTAGGCATGTAATGGGTCTATTTTTAGGCATTTTTTATGGCACGTGAATAACTGAATCACGGAATATATTTCATATTTCATTAAAAACAAATCGCAATTACTTAAATTTATATGAAAAATCAGCACCTGATTCGAATCTGTCTTGTCAGCACACATGAAGTACGGCTACTCATAACGATATGATCGTGGAATAATCACAAATTTCCGTAATATTTCAAGTCTCTCTAAGCGAAGTATCTAATCTGTTTACGAACTTAACTTTGCCACGCGATCTTTAACAGAATCACATTTCACCATCGGCAAAAATATCATTGCCATTTTAACTCGTGTATTTGATACAAATATATAAGAATGCATTTCATTCCTATACCTCAGCCACAAAAACTGTATGATTTATGGGAATCCTAATAAAACGACTGTGTTATTCCTGTTGAAGCACGCGACAGGCGGAAACTAAACACTCTTCGCGCACACGCACTCCGAAGTAACACAACTCGCTATGAAGTTCTGTGTAACGCCACTTTGAAATTCTCTGCAAAGCCAGTGGATATGAAGTCCTTTCCCTTGTTTTATTGCGGGAAGCAACTACCGCTACCTGCGGGAACGCAACGGTGACTGACCACGCTTTACTCACTCACTTACTCCACAGTGCGATGGAACGAGACAGAGAGCGAGAACCCCCCTCGTGTAGAGCCGCAGACCCCTCCCAGAAACAGGGCATGTGCTGCAGAGGAACAGTCGAATGCTCCTTTACCGCGCTTACCAAAGGCTGGGACTCAAGTGGCTTCTTGCTTACCTGAAATTTTTAACTATGTGTCTCCTCGTATCCCGGATCTCTGTATAACGAACTCGGTTGAAGCCATTCAAAGTGATCTGCAAGAAGTTATATTCTGATGAACAGGTTAAATAAAGATGTGGCTTCCATCTTCAGGGTGGAAGAACATGCTAAGCAAGAAACCAGTTTGAAGCAGATAGCAAGTAGAGCTAATTAATATTTTTAGGAAGTTTTCGGGCTACTAGAATTTACATAGTTTACTTTAATTTTTTTTACAGATACAATTAATTAAAGCTCCTGTTAAGAATCGTGGACCCATTATAACTTTCTTTTTTCTTGGCACTACAGACCCAGTGGGCCTAGGCCTACCTCCATGAACTTCTCCGTTCACTTCGGTTTTTCTACACATTCGGTAGGACTCCTTGGGCGGGTGATCAGCTCGTCGCAAGGCCTCTACCTGTACACAAACACAGAAGAACGCACACACACAAACTAAACATCCATGACCTGAGTGGGATTCAAACCCACGATCCCGGTTTCCAAGCGAGCGAAGACAGTGCATGCCTTAGACCTCTCGGCTACCGTGACTGGCCCCATTATAACAACAGTCACTTAATGTATCAAATTTAGGATATACCTACCGAATTTCATGATACAATTTATTTAGATGAACGACACTATTATATTCCACACGAAATTAGTTAGGGGGCACGCGGCAGCGTAGTTGGTTGAGGCACTATGCTACAAGCCGGAGGGTCGCGGGATCGAATCACGATGTCATTAGATGTTTTTTCAAGTTAGCTAATCCTTCCAGTCGACTCAACCTCTTAACAGAAATGAGTATCAGGAAATATTCTTGGAATGTTCGTGGGGGTAAAGGGCGGGCCTGCGAGTAAGGCTGACAATCTTGCCGCCATCTATGAGCTGATTGTCTAGAAAATGTGGGAACCTCAACATCTCACAATCCTATGGGCCTCCACGGCCTGTTACAGGGATACCTTTACTTTTTTACTTTTGCGAAATTAGCTACGTATATTTTCCAAAGTTAGTTGTAACATTTTTCCATAGATGGCCAGAACTGGTAAACAGCTGTGACACACATGCATAACCTAGGTAAAAGTGAAGCTATCCCTGTAACAGGCCGTGAAGACCCATAGGGTTGTGAGACGTCGAGACTCCCACATTTTCTAGACAACCGGCTCACAAATGGAGGTTGTCAGCCTTACGTCCGGCAGCCCTTTATACCACGAGAAGATTCCTGCCACTCATTTGTGTTAGAGGTTGAGTCGAACCAAGGGATATAAAGCTCTTGGAAGGATCAGGTAAATTGAAAAATCCAATGGCCTCATCGGGAATCAAATCCGTGACCTTCCGACTTGTAGCATAGTGCCTCAACCATGTTACCGCGTACCTCACATATGCCTAACCTCATGTCGAAATTCTGTATGTTGTAAGACAAAATAAGTTAGGCTTACGTCACGAAATTCGGTTGGTTTGCGTTACATATACAGTTCTATTGAGGGCATGGCTACACACTCGTAGGCCTGTACATGCAGGTCACGTCAAGCGGTAGCACTAGAGTACTCCTCGACCGCCTCCTCTCTCAATGGACTAAGTCGCAGTTCATTTCTTTCCAGTTCTTCTGACATTCATTTTGTAGGACCACTTTCAGGCTCTCGTCTTCCGGACAATTTTAGGGAAAACGGCAGTTCTGTTTTGTGATGTAACGGCGTGTAGTCAGTTTAAATACAACGAACATTTCAGAGGAACATGTTGCCTTCATTCTTGGATTGAAACATAAGCCAAGTAACAAACCAGGGTGAAGCGGTTCGTAATAACAGCTGTGAGAATATCAGATAGGAAGGGGGGGAAAAACAGTTCATGGATACTCCCAATCTTGACTGACGTAGACAGGGATATACAGCGGGGTGCTTCCGAGTCTCAGGCTCTTCTGATCATGTTATCCAGGCTACAGCTTGTGCAAGATACTGGTTTTCTATCTATCCGGCAATATTAAAGCGGATCTTAAGAATAGGTGTGAGTTGTGGGCTCTGTTTGCATAGCTCAGCGAGCGATAGTGATAAAGTTAATGAGCCTTCTGATTACACGCAAGCTAAACAATATTCCGGGTAGCTGAGCGGCTAGTCTCATCTAAAGGAAGAATTTGTTCCAGGGCCGTATTATTTCCTTAAGGGGAGGGGGGACCAACAACAACAAAACGACGTGTTATGCGGAAGTCATGACTGTCCGTTTGCCTGTGGCCTAAAATCAGGACATAAATCGTCGGGTACACTCATAAAATTTGACAAGAAAAGTTTTCAGTGCATGTTGCTGGATACTTCCAGTTTACAGCCATACTGGCCCAGAGCAACTTACCTAAGACCATACGTGGATTTTCAAATATATATAATCATTCATTCCACGGTTCTGTTGAAATTCGTTACGGAATATTTTCATTAAAATTTTATGGGTAAACTTACTTTCAACTATATTAATTCATGCCGGTCACGGTAGCCGAGCGGTCTAAGGCATGCACTGTCTTCGCTCGCTCGGAAGCCGGGATCGTGGGTTCGAATCCCACTCAGGGCATGGATGTTTGTGTGCGTTTTTCTGTGTTTTTGTACAGGTAGAGGCCTTGCGACGAGCTGATCACTCGCCCAAGGAGTCCTACCGAATGCGTAAGATCTAGTAAACCGAAGTGAAACGGAGAGTTTCATGGAGGTAGGCCTAGGCCCAAATTGGGGCTGTAGCGCCACAGGAATATTAATTCATAAGAAAGACTGGTGTCCATAAGGCCATAAATAGATTTCTCCATATACGAGTATTCAACCAGTCGTCAAATATTGTAACGTGGGACATTTTCAATAGCTCTTGTTCAATCATTATCTTTTAAGTAAACTTCTTGCTACCTTCGAAGAACGCGGTTTGCAATTTTGTGTACATTATGAAATACACACTTTTCTATCTTTGTCCATTAATCATTTAGTAAATATACTGCAATGCTCTGATTTTAAAATTCGGCACGATCGTTGGAGAGTTGCGTCCCTCTCACAACCTAAGACCTAATATTTTCATTTTGGAGTCCAATTGGGTCCATTCGGCAGGGCGGCCACTGATTTGCCTATTGTATCTGCCCCGGATGATTATGATGAAGGAGAATTTGGTGGAATGAATATATAAAGTAAAGTAAAAAAAAATAAAGGTATCCTTGTAACAGGCCGTGGAAGCCCATAGGGTTGTGAGATGTTAAGGTTCCCGCATTTTCTAGACAATCAGCTCATAGATGGCGGCAAGGTTGTCAGCCTTACGCACCCGCCGCCCTTTACCCGCAAGAATATTCCAAGAAGATTCCTGGTACTCATTTCTGTCAGAGGCTGAATCGACCCCAGGGCCATAGTGCGGATGGAACGATTAGGTAAATTGAAAAAAATTCGACGACCTCATCGGGATTCGATCCCGCGACCTTCCGGTTTTTAGTATAGTGCCTGAACCAACTACACTACCGCGTGCCTCCTTCATTTTAATATAATACCTCTATCACAATTTCGGCCTTCCAAGTTGCCCTATTCCAATCCAAAATTTCGTATTTATAATCTCTCGCATCCGAGCTGGAAGTCAAGAGCATGTTAACCGCCTTCACTCGACTACCCAAGAAAGATTCAGTTAATGTACCTAGCTCAATAGTAAGGTCTCGATAATAAATGCAAATCAGCGAATTATGATTTTAGAGATAAGTTAAATTCAGCATCAAATAACGTATTCCAACTGCCCGTGCCTATCATTTCGAACATAACTAGGCTGAACCTTCTGACATTTCCTGCACAAGACCGACGAGTGTGGGTTTCGAGACTGTGAAAATACATGCCATTCAAAGGAGACACTTTACTCGCTATTCGCAGAGAAATGGAACTGCGCTTTAGAGCACATCATTTTCGTTTTGCAAAGAATTTCACCTTGAATGTGGTGGGCAGAATACGTCGCCTTTGGTATTGTAGTGAAGCCGAGGATGAAAGGGTTGCTTGGCAGCGGCTGTTTCCAAAATACAGCACTCATCACTCAACACGTACATAATAAATTTACTGGTGAAAACACCTTCATTACTTAAAGGAGATTGCCATAAAAACGAGTTTCTCTCAGAAAGGCAGCCCTTCCTTGGAGCCGCATTAGGGAGCTGCGTATGGGGGTCCACCAGTGCGTCAACTGCGGAGATAAGTATGACATAATTTGATTATTAGAATTTCGTTAACTTAATATGAGCATCATTCCTTCAGCATGAACACAATTTTCATCCTTACAAACCCCGTTTCATCATCATCACCAACATGTCAACTGTAAAATATTAAATGCAGTCGAGACAGAATTCACCTTCCGTATGGCGAGAAGTTGTCTTGAATTACGTAGTTGTGATCATGATATCTTTCTAAGAAAACTAAAAATGTAGAAATGTTAACTGCGGGAACAATTTTACTTTAGTAACAATAAAGAATCAGCGCTACAATACGTACGATAGAAATCACAGAAAGGTGCATTATAACCATTATAATCCAAATATTCGCAACATACGAATGACTAATATTTTCAACAAGTTTTATATGAATATTGAGGAGACGGGATGGTGTAGACATTATGTATAATGATTGGCTACGGGCTGGATGGCCGAGGAGTCTCAGTTCCAGTCCCGATAGGGTCGAGAATTTTGTTCTCCACGTCGTCTAGACCGGGCGTGGGGCCACCCAACATCCTATGCAATGGATACAGGGAGTTCTTTACCGGGAGGTAAAGTGGCCGGGGCGTGAAGCTGACCACTCACCCCACACTAATGCC